CACACACACACACACACACACACACACACACACACACACACCACACACCCATACCCATAGGGGGGTCGTTGCGAGGAGGACTGGCTATGGGTATGGGCACGGGTTGTCGGACCCTGGGGAACACTCCCGCTCGAGCGGGGACCCCCATCCGACAACGCGCACCCATAGCCCCCTCCGACCCCCCTATGGGTGTGGGTGTGTGCTGTTGGTTCGTCAACTGCTTGTTCCCCGGCTCCTGGAGCCCGCCTGGCCCACCGCGCGAGCGGGCCTGGAGGCTCAGGGCCTTGCACCGTGCCCTGAACTCCTTGCTTCTGGCGCCGAGCAGCGGGAGCCTGCGGGGTGCACAGAAACGAGAGGCGCAACGGTGGCTGGCGAGAACCAGCTCGCGCACAACTCGTCTTCCCGGCACCTCCAGGCGCGGAAGGCGCCCAGGTGTTGAGGCAGGCGCGAGTGGGCGGTGGGGGCCAGCGAATCCGCTCCCGGCGCCTCTCGGGCGCCACTGTGTCGAAGCGAGCTCCCAGCGGCCGGGCCGAAACCGGCTGCGTGCAGCAGACGACGCAGCCCGCACCCCACTTGTCACTCCATCCCTCTCGTCCGACCCCGGCCTGAGCGTGGCGCTGACGTGCAGGGCCGTCCCGATGTTCGAGGGGCACGAGTTGAGGAAGCCCAGGCGGCCGTCGAAGGCGTAGTCGTGACCGCTGGCCTTCAGCAACTCGCCGAGTGACCTCTCGACGCAGACAAAACGCTCGAACGCCTGCTTGAGGTCCCCGCTAGGCTGCTGGGAGAAGATCTTCAGGTGGTCCGCTTCGTTGACCCATGCGAAGAAATCCTTTTCTTAACTGCCCCGATGCGCAACACGCAGCCCGTAGCGGGTCGGCACGGAGCTCCACACGCAGACTGAACACGCAGGCCTGGCCCGACGCGCTCGCCAAGACGTCGGCCAACACGCTGGGCCAACACGCAACGCATTCACACGGAAGTCTTGAACACGGCACGTGTTGCGTCTCAGCATGTGCACATCAGGGAAGCTACACCCTGCGAAATGCTTTAGAACTCATGGGTTCAGAAATTCATAGTCTCAGAATCTGGAGAAAAAAATCAAAATGTCGATTCAAATCTTAGGATTTGCATTGAAGCATGAAGAATAATCGAGACTCTGGCCGAAAGCTTGGGTTTTCTTAGGCATCGCCTGGAGTGTAAGGTCCTTCCCCTTGCCGACGAAGACGCCGCGCCCGTGCGGCCAGCAGCGCCCATAGCCCGCGGAGTGCAGGATCGCGGAGTCGGGCTCCTCGAACAGCAGGCCGGCGCTGCGCAGCTCGTGGTGCTCGTCCTCCTGCATGCCTCGAGGCTCCAACTAGGAAGGCACCAACTATACACCAACACCGATCCTGGCCAGGATCACCCTGGGCCCAGGATCGGTGTATACGCCCTCCTGCCTTGCGCAAGAAGGCATATACACCGATCCTGGGCCCAGGGTGATCCTGGGCCAGGATCGGTGTTGGTGTATAGTTGGTGCCCTCCGACCAACGGTTAGGTCGGGCATGTCCTCCTACATTTGGAAGCAAACTGAAGCAGAGTCAAACAATACGCAAACACAGCCAAACACAGCAGACAACACGTCCCCCCAGGCTACTTGTCATACTTTTTGATCTTCCCCCTGTAGAGGGACGTGCCCGACTTGATCCAACTCCTCCTCGTCCCGTACCCGTCCCGTGCCCGCCCCAGACTCCGCCCACGGGGCAACCGACCCCGTGTCCCCGGTGTCCTGATCAGGTCGGGCACGGACCTGTTGAGAATCTCTGTGGAGCCGGCGGGAACCAGGAGGTGCACCGGGCGCCGCGGCAGGTGATGCAGCACGGCGGCCGAGAGAAAGCACAAGGGGCAAGGATTACAATACGTAGCTAGCTTTCTGCCGCTGAAGAAGACTTTCGGGAGGACGGCCAGCACATCTCATCAAATACGACGGCGAAGGACACCCACGAGCTGGCCTGGAACCCAGTATAATATTCATCGCCAGGGGCGCCGCTGCGTGACGGGGGCCCCGCGGGCAGTTCTAAATCGCAGTCTTCCAATTCAGGGTGCTCCAGAACGCTCCGGGAGGGCCATGACTTGTCTTATGAGCATCCTGAGGTTTCCTGGCTGCTTACCTCTCCTCCTCCTCCTCCTCCTCCTCCTCCTCCTCCTTCGCCTCTCCTCCTCCTCCTCCTCCTCCCTCCTCCTCCTCCTCCTCCTCCTCCTCCCTCCTCCTCCCTCCTCCTCCTCCTCCTCCTCCTCCTCCTCCTCCTCCTCCTCCTCCTCCAACTCTCCGCGCGCCGCGGAGGGGACACACGAGAGGGCAGGTCCTCTCGGAAACGAGGAGGTGGGGCTTCTCGGGAGCCCGCCCTCGCCGGCCCCCGCAGCCCTCCGTGGCCTCGGGAAAAAAAACTGTGCACATCAGACTCGATATCTCGGGAAATCGCCGGGCCCCCTTGCGGGGCCACCAGGTTGCGAGGGTGAGGGTTGCAGCTCCCTGTTCCAGCTGCCAATCTATACTGGTACAGTCCTGCTTTCTGCGTCCTTGCTGTTAACTGTTGCTGAACGCGCGAGGGGGGGAGCCCCAAACCAGCTTTTCTTACCACGTCCAAATCACGTTGTCTGAATTCATGGGGGGGGGCGTGGGACACGTAACGATACCTGATATTCGCGTCCCCGAGGCCATAATCCTGAGTAGATTACGCCATGTTCGCGTCCCCGAGGCCATACATATGTGCAAATTACAGTGTTCGCGTCCCCGAAGCCATAGTCCCTCTTGGATTACAAAATATTCGCGTCCCCGAAGCCGCAAACCTCTCATACATCATACGCCACTTGCGCCCCCGAGGCCATACACCCTCGTAAATTACAGAATGCTCGCGCCCCCGAAGTCTTACAACCTCGTGCAATACACAATAGTTGCGTCCTCGCGGCCATAATCCTACAATATTCGGGGCTTTGAAGCAAAAGCGCCATCCAAATTACGCGATATCTGCGCCCCCGAAGCCATACACCTTCGAAAATTAAGCAACCTTCGCACTTACGAAAATGATTCGAAGCCATTACCTTCGAATACTCCGAAGTTGAAGTCCCGACGTTGCTTCACGTGAGCGTCCCGACATCCCCACGCAGCTCGGGCAAGTCCCATTCTAAGAGAGGGGGGGCGGCGGCATGGGGGCGAAGCCCTTGCGGATAGAATGAAGCTCCGACCTTCCAGTGTTGCACGATGGTTCCCTACCGGAAGGCAAAGTCTGAATGCGTGTATGGTTGACCTTAGCCTACACCAGTCGGGCCGGGCGAAAGGGGGGGATAGCAAGCCCTTTCGTCCGGCCCAAACCAGGAGCTCTCCAGGAGGCCGCCCCAAGGAGCTCCCCAGGGGAGGCCAGAGGGCTCCAGAGAGCCCTGCGAGTAGGCCACGCCACCTGCGGCCCTCTCCCCGCCGGGGCTTTTCTTGGACGCCCGGGCGGGGTGCGGCAAGACAGGGCACAGTGCCGAGCAGCAGCAACAAGAGCTCCTCCTCCTCCTCCTCCTCCTCCTCCCCTTCTTCTTCTTCTTCTTCCTCTTGCTCTTCTTCTAATTATCATTTTCCTCTTACTCTCTTCTTCTTCCTCCTCCTCTTTCTCGGTACATGGGGGGGCCGAGAGGGCTGCCGTGTGTTCTCTAAATCCGGCAGCGGTCGCTCCTGGGCAGGCGCCCCCCTGTCCAGAGGCCTCCCAGACGGGGTCGGAGCAGATGGCCTCGGAGCATCGCGCCGCCTTGTCGGGGCGACGCATCGGCGATGCATCGGCGACGCATCGGCCACGTGGGCGATGCATCGGCGACGTCGGCGTGGAGGGAAACGGACTCAGCATCGAGCCGCGTCGCCGATGAATCGTTGCTGCGGCGTGATCCTTCCGCCTCAGCTACACGCACCCCATCGGAAGGGGCCTAGAATTGTCTCGAACGGACAGCGTCCGCAGCGACACCGACAGCGAGATCTGCCCCGAAATGCATAGGAAATGGTGCCCGTCTCTGTGCCCATTCTTAGGTCGGGCATGTCCCCCTACTGGCGGATTTGGGAAGAAACATGGACAACAGTCAAACAATATCCAAATATAGTCAGCAATAGTAGAAAAACACATCCCCGGCTATGCTCCAACCTTTTTGTACATACAATATATGTATGTGTAAGAATAAAAACATGTATGTATGTATGTATGTATGTATGGATGGATGGATGGATGGATGGATGTATGTATGCATGCATGCATGCATGCATGCATTTATGTATGTATGTATGTATGTATGTATGTATGTATGTATGTATGTATGTATGTATGTATGTATATATATATATATGTATGTATGTATGTATGTATGTATGTATGTATGTATGTATGTATGTATACATATATGTATACATACACATACGCACATAGCTTTATACTCTAATATATATATATAACTAATACTCATCCTGTAAAAGAACATGCCCGACTTAAGCCCGCTCGTTCCGTATCCACTCTGGTCCTCCCGGTGGGCGTGCCGCCGACCTCCCGAGACCACCGGCGGCGCGCCCAGCGGGAAAGCGAGCAGGAGAAAGCCTCCTTGGAAGGCATGTCCTCCTACAGGTGGATTTTGGACGAACCAATCAATATAGTCAAAAACAAATGCTCAAGAATAGTAAAGCAAAAACTGGAAAAACCGCTTCCTGACTATTTGTTGACTATTCTTGGACATTCCTCCTGTAGAGGGACACGCCCGACTTAACGAAGGCTTGGATGACCCCGGCCTTCTGAGAAGCGTTCGGAGCCTTTCCCGAAGACATGGAAGAAGGCCTCCTCGGAGAGCTCGGAAGACCTCTGGCCTTCTGAGAAGTGTTCGAAGCCCTTCCCGAAGGCAGGGAAGCAGCTTCCCAGAAGGCGCGGGGGCTTCCGAGAAGTCCCGCCGTCTTTTGACAAGGCCTTCTTCCTCTCACTTGCACCGCCTTGCCCGCCGCCGAAGTTGGTTCCTGGGCCACACCTCGGGCCTCCGGCGGCCGTTCGTGATGATCCGGGCACCCCCGGCACGCCCTCGGCGAGGCGCGGCTTCTGGCAAGCATCCCGAGGCTGGAAAACCGCCGAGAATCGACGAAAACACCCGACAACCCCGAACCTCGAACCCGAAGCTTCCACCCCCTCCCCAGATCATTGGATACCAAGTTTTCGTTCGGTCGCGATCGGTAGCGACCGATCGGCACTCCAAATCGGTCGCGACTGATCGCGACCGATCCCCAAATCGGTCGCGATGGGTCGCCACCGTTCGCGACCGATCGGTCGCGAGCGATCGGTCGCCACCGATTTTGAGTTTAAATCGGTCGCGACCGATACCGAAATTCGAAGCAGGATAGGTAGCGACCGTTCTCTTCGGCCGCGACTGGAAGATGCCAGCATCCAATGATCACGGGGAAACCCAAGGGAACCGATACCGCCACTCCCCGGACCTCTCCTGGGGCTCGTTCTGACAGGGATCTCGAGGCGAATCCAGTGGTGGCGACGAGGGCCTGCCAGGAGGCCCAAAAAGGGGAAAACGGGCGAGGGGGTAGAGGTATGGGTGCCTCTTCCTCCTCCGAGAGCAGGGTCGCTCGCCGCGGCCCGGGCCTGCGAAGGGGTGGTACACGCCCTCGAGGCGGCCGCCCAGGGAGCACAGCGCCCCGGACAGCAGGCGCTCGGCCTCGCAGAGCTCCTCCCGCGCCGCGGCGGTGGGCATGCGGAGGCCGCCCGAGAGGCTGCGGCTCCCCGCCACCTGCCGGGCCTCTCTCTCTGCCTGGCCCAAGAGGGGGTCCTGGCTTCGGGGCAGGAGGAGGAGGAGGAGGAGGAGGAGGAGGAGGAGGACGAGGAGGAGGAGGAGGAGGAGGAGGAGGGGAAGTGCAGTTACTGCATTCCCTGATCATCTGATACTGGAACTTGCCGGTCGCGACTGGCGAGAGCGGTCGCTACCGACTTTGCTTCAGCTTTCGGTATCGGTGGCGAACGATTTGCTTGAAAAGTCAGTCGCGACCGATCGGTCGCGACCGATCGGTCGCGATCGGTGGCGACCGGTCGCGACCGATTTTAGGATCGATCGCGATCGGTCGCGACCGATTTGGAGTGCCGATCGGTCGCTGCCGATCGCGACCGAAAAAAACGGTATCCAATTATCTGGGTTGCATTGCAACTCACGTGTTATATGCGAAAATCCAGCAATACATTTGCGCCCCAGAATGTGCTGCACGCCCCAAGTCTACTGCAACACCAGACCTATCCCACCACCCCCCTGTAGCTGGACCCCCTTTGAGGTCAACCAGATTCTCTCGGGGATGGACAGACCCCCCTTTAGTAAAACGTGGTTTAGTGAAAACGACCTGAGGCCCAAACCTGGCGGGCGCAAGCCTGGAAAATGACGGCCGCGGCGCCCTCTCGAGAACCGAAAACGGACAATTCACTAATCGACGTGTCACTGTTGGGGGTTCTGTCCACCCCCGATTCTCTGGGAGCGCTGCGGTTTCTGGGGCAACTCCGGTTTGGGCCCCGGAGGCGCGCTTCCCAATTCCCCCCCGCGCTGTGCACAAAGTCACGACGGGAGGTTTTTCTCGCTGTGTTCGTCCTCCGAGGGCCCTCGCCGTGCCTCGGGACCGTCCAAAGACGAACCAGGATGACACACTGGTCCTGGGGAACCTCCTCCTCCTCCTCCTCCTCCTCCTCCTCCAGACCTCTGGGGGTCGACGTTGCAAAAAAAAACACGACGTCGGAGGTCTGAGGGGCAGCACGGAGGCAGAGCCATGTAAACTTCTGGAGCTCCGCGCGGATCTCTTGCGTCTCGGGGGGGGGGGGGGGGCGGGGCGAGAGGGTAGGACAGCAAAGTGCAGGAGGGAGAATCAGCTCGCGTAGCTGGTTTTCTGGCACCTCCTGGCGCCGGGAGGCGCCCATGTATCGTGAAATGGGCCCGGCGGCGGGGCGGAAACCGGCTGCCTGCAGCAGATCTCGTAGCCCCCCCTCTCCCTCGTTCGGCCCGAGCGGTGGCGCTGGGGCGCGCTCCGCGCGCCAGGAAGGAGGTGCCGGGGCAGATCCAAGAGATCCGCGCGGAGCTCCACGAGGCGTACGCGCAAGCGCGCCTCTCTCTCCTCTTCGGCGGATGCAGCGGCAGAGAGCGAAGAGTCCAGGCCGCCCGACTCTTGGTGCACTCCGCGCCCCGAGAGGCGCGACGCGCCGGGCTGCCCTCAGGTCGGGTATGCCCCCCAACTGGCGGACTCTGGAGGAGCACTGGGCAAAATACGATGAAATACCGGACACATGCTGGAAGAGTGCT